AGTAGTTGAAATCTAACTGTGTGTTGTTCTCATCATGTTCCTGTTTTGATAAATGCTGTTAATATGTATACCTGGGTCTCATTTTCAAATCGAAGAGCCGAGTAGCTAACAGTTTCTTGCTTGGCAGAATTACTCTCCCCTCCACCGCCTGCAGGACTCTGGAGATAAACACAACAAAAAGAAAACAAACACCTTTGTACAGAACAAGCGTAATGAGGTTTCTGTTTCAGGGTAGATTTGCACATACTACCTTAAAACTGAGTTTAGCTTTAGTTGGAAGGTGGCTTGTGTGCTGTTTGTTATGACTGTGCTCTTGCAACTGGATACAAGAGATTATAGAGACCTAAATTCATTGCTGTGACTCTCAGCAAAGCTGCAGTAACATAACCTGATGTCTAATAAAAGAGGAAATACCAGAGCTGTAACTCACAGCAATTTTATTTCCACACAAAAAAGGATACAGAGTGTTTATAAGCCATCACCACCGCAGCTCTATGATGTCTTCTGTGACTTTCTTAATTTCCTTTGTTTATTTAACTCTTGTGATTTTCCAATCTGGCTAATTTTCCCTGAAATAATTTGAAAAATTTGCTTTAATATAAGAAGTACATCCTGCTTGCAGCAGGTTATATAATTTCTATCTACAGTTTGCAGAAAACTCTAAACTCTCCCTCTTCTTATACAAAGTAACATAAATACACAGAAAATGTTATCTTTATGTAATATATACACATGGCCACTGTTATATCCAATCATTAATATTTTGCACATGCACATGACCACATCACGTGAAGGGCAAACTACTGTATTTTCTCCACTGCTGTCACTGATACGATGATATTATCCTTCCCCACTGCACTGCTATCTGCAGCATAATTTCTTAGCTCTGAGAACTTTGTTCGCATCAGCTACCCTGAATAGAATCAGTTGCAGTCATGTAAATAAAAGTTCAGCTTAATTATTCTCCTGTTTGAAAAAATCGCTCTTACCTGAAGTAAGTGATGTTTCATTTTCCTTTCTTGTTTTTTCCCCATCCTTTTCCCTCCCTAGAGCTACAAAAATAATTATCCCCACGACAGGTACCAAAATTTTTCTATCTGCTTCTGTCTCCCTTCAAGAGCACACTCAGCAACACTTTGCAAGAATTGATCAAAACTATTATAATAATAGTTTTCAGCACAGTCTTCACAGACACATTCACTTCCCCATCTCTGGGATTCCTGTCTGCAGTGAGAGCTGCAGTCAGGCTTCCGAGGGCTTCCTTTTACCCCCACCACCGATTCTGAGGAGCGAGTTTCTAAACCCATCTCCGCAGCCTTCACACACTCCAGCTGCCCAAAATTCATGGTCACATTACGTTCCCTCCCTTCTTGTGATTCCTCTTTTCACACAGGAATAACACGTAAACCTCAACTTCTGCCTGATGCCACCGTTTCCAGGCACGTCCTCTGCAAAGGCTTCCAATTCACCACTCAGTCCCTTCCAGCCAGATGCAGACCACTTCTTATACCAGTCTGCAGATAAAACAACTTGGCTGACTGGGACACCAAGGTGAAACTACAGCTTTATTACAGGTTCTTACTGCCACGTCCTGTTTCTTTGCTCACGAGTGAAATAATTTAAACGTGGTGGCTCAGTTTCTCCATCTGTAAAACACATGTACTAATACATACTTAAACCCTAATCTCTAATACTACTTATCCCCAGAGTCCCAAGAAGTTAGATGTATTTGAAGAGTGCTTTTTGACACTCAGCTGACACATTTTACTAATCTGTAAAATCCCTTCTGAATTAGATGATACAAAACCTAAACCAAATTCAGCATGGCAGTAATAACAACTAAGATGATAAACTAATCCAAAGAAACCAACAAAGAAGTAATGCTAAGAGTCATCCTGTTTTAACTCTAGAGGAAAATGTAACCTTCTTCTCTTTGCAGCTCCAGGGCAACAGTCCAGCTTTTCTCAGCTTTCAGATAAAGAACCTTTAAGTATTGCGCTTAAAGCTGCTTTTTTCTGCTTTATGAAAGCAGCTCTCAGTGAGCAGTGCAAGCCTATAAACTGTAAGTGCCTTTGTTACTTTTAAAACAAATTTAAACATATTTAAGAAATTTTAAACTAGTTGAACAAGCTAAACTGAGGTGTGTCCTGGCTTCTCCGTTTGCTCTGTCACTACCATCATAGCTGTCATCTGTGGAAGAGAAGCAATGGCAACACTAGTGGGATGGACCAGGAAGAAATGGGTAAACACACCTGCAAAGCATTTAATCGTACTCCCTTTGACATAAATGGGACTTCAGGTGGCGATTTCATTCAAAGCAGGACCAGGTCCAACTAGAAACTGGAGTTTTTAAACTGGAAGACTGATGAGGCTGCACCCACACTTGTGTGTAAAGAGAGCTCCTCGCAGAAAGCCATATAATGACTTTTTAATTGCAGTAGGAAGGCTTGATTGTAAACCAAACTCAATTGCATTTACTCCAGGCAAGCCCAGGAACAAGAGTAAGAAGGAATCGTAGCTATCCCACTCATCTACAGGCATGAGCGTGAAACAAAGCAAAGCTGCCATTTCACCTTTTGCAGCCCACTTTTGCTGCTAGGTCTTCGGAAGGATTGGAAAGGAGCCCGTAGCCTCACTGCTGCAGCTGCGGGTGCTGCGTGAGGCGGGGAACGGCACACCCCAGGTGGCCTACAAGGGAATGTGAGCACAAAGCGGCACAAAAGCAACGTCACTGTGTGAAGAAGGCTGGAGCCAGAGACCCAGCTGTCAACACCAGTTCTGCCAAGACTGTACAAATACGATCCTGTCCAAACCAGTTAACTGCTTGCTCCATGCAACCTTTTCTCCATCTGTTCGAAAAAGTGGAATCATATTATTTTTGAGGGTAAGTGCCATGGACCCTGTAAATGGCATTTTGCTATTGGTCTTCACTGTCACTCTTCACTATCACCAGATTTACTGCATCTAGCAAAGAATTTGCAACTTGGTGGAATTTGAGGGGAAAAAATATTGTTTAATACTTTGGACATACACAAAAGTGGACTTACACCTGGGCAGTCATGCTTACTATTCCATTCTGGGGACATGCAACTAACCACACACGGCAGGGCTTGATCCAGGGCAAGCCAGAAGGTAACCTCGGAAGGTGATAGTACCACATCAGTTTGTGCACAGAACTGGGCTACTAAAGACCATGACCTTGCCAAATTACTGGTTAGGAATTAGAGGGTAAAACAAACAAAAAAAAAGAAATAATAAAAGTGCACCTCAGTGTACATAGAACATTTTGAGGAAATGCAAGCTGTACGCAGGTGAAGCTAAATGGGTAAATAAACTGAACAGGTACAGAAATGTAAATGCATTAAAATCTCATGCCAGTAGAACTATGATGTCAAGCAGCTGACAAATTAAAATAAAAAAGATCTTGCTGTATGAGAAAGGCAAGTGGTTTCAAACAGTTCTTTAGTATCGGTAAAAACAAGGTCAGATACTGTGATGCCTGTCTCACTTCCACAGCCCTTAGTGGGAGAGCTGAGGGGAATGATTCACGGAGAGTATGCAAGAAGCAGTGCCAAGATGGAGCTGAGGACTTAAGCAAGGTTGAATGGGTGGTTCTGTCTTTTCATAATGCAAGAACAACAGAACATGAAATGAAATTAGAAAGCAACATTTTAAAAATGACAATTACTTCTTCAATGTCACCTTGAGAATCAAATAGTTCAAGAGCAATGAAGTGTCCCCTTGAAACTTGACGGATTTTGTAGTCAGTGCAGGCAATAACCAGTAAAAGCAATGAAATGCGTATGTACGTACAAAGGGAACCTCCCTAATACCTACAGATACTATCAACAAAACTACATATAGCTTTCTCTGAGACATGCAGCACTGGCTCCTTGCAGAGACCAGGGGCTGCCTGAGATTGGCAGGTTTTATCAATTTTGACCTGACGTATTCTTGCAGCTGATCCACTGAGAAAAGACACTAATTAATACAGACATAACCTTTGCTTCAGTCTGAAGAGGCAAAAATCGTGATGCCAGAACTAGCCAGAAGTTTCCCCAAGGTGGCGGGGGGGTGAGGGTGGGTGGAAGTAGGGGAATATGAAAAAATAAATATATATATATATATATATGGAGTGCCAGAATACACAGTAAATGAATGAAAAGATGTGAAGAGGGACAAAATTCTGGAGCCAGATACTAGCCACAGAGACATTTTGAAGAAACCGGGGAGAGATAAAAGAGGCACTTCAGGAAATGTATTTCAGTCCCTGCCAGTAAGTTGCAACTTGCTGTAGTGCGGGTGGGGATGGATTCAGCAAGGCCCCCTGGTGATTAAAGCCATCGAAGTTGGAGGCTGGAAGGGCGGGCACAGGTCCTCCGTGTCCCCCCGGTCAGCGCCTGCTCCCCCAACGCGGGCGTCAGGCCGGGAAATGGCGGCGCCCGCCAACGCTGCGCCCCGCTCCGCCGGCCGAGGGCTCCGGGCGAGGCCCCGGCAACGCGCGGACCCCCGCTAGCGCCGGCGGCCGTGCAAAAAAAAAAAAAAAAAAAAAAAAACCACCAAAAAACAAACCAACCAAACAACCCAAAAAACCACCACAACAAAAACAAACCGACAATATCCCCTCAGTTTCGCTAAAAGCGACAGTCGCCCCCTCACATCCCGCCCTGCGCGGCCGGGGCTGTGGGGCACCGCTCCCCCAACGCGCCTCCCGGCCGGGCAGAGCGGGAAGCGCCCGGCGGGCCCCCGCCGCTCCGAGCCGCAGGACGCCGGGGCGCGGGCTTGCGTCTGTCGGTCTGTCTGCCTGTCCGTGTGAAATAATCACACACACCCACACCCCCACCCACACACCCACCCCCTCCGCGTGCCCCCGGCGGCAGGCGGCGCTCCGCGGCCGGCACTGGGTGTCGGTTGGCGGCGGCGGGAGCGGCGGAGCAGCGGCGCGACGGAGCGGGGAGCGGCCGGAGCCTTCCTGGCAGCGCCTGAGGTACCGGGAGCGGGCTGCGGGGCGGGCGGGCCGGGCTCGGCCGCCGGGCCCGGGGTTTGCGGGGGGTAGAGCGGGGAGGCTGTGGCTGTGCCCGCCCGACTCTCGGGCGGCGGCAACTTGGCCCGCACGCGGGCGACCCGCGGCCGCAAACTTGCCGCCCCGAGCCCTGCGCGGAGCGAGGGGCGCAGCCAGAACCGCCCCTCCCCGTCCCCTCCGGCCGGGGGAGCGGCGCGGCGGGACCCTGCTGCCCGCCTCCTCCCCTCACGGCCCCGCCGCCGGGGGCTGTTCGGTGGCCGCTGCCGGGACCCCCCCGCACCCCGCCCGGGCACCCCGGCCCCCCGCACCCGCCCGCCGCAGCCGAAGGTAACGGGTCTGGCGCCGGTCGGAGGGGCCGCGCCGGCTTGCTGGTGCCTGAACTGCCCGAGAGTACTTTTTTTTTTTTTTTTTTTTGCTTGCTTGCATGGCTTGCGGGGGGGGGTGGGGTGGGGGCGTTTCGTTTTAGTTACAGAAACGGGGTGTAGGGAGCTGTCACTGAAATGACATCGGTGTGCCCTGGAACGCAACTGCCCAGGAGCCCCACGTTCTGTTGCTTTTGCTCAGGCAGAGCTTCCACGGGGCTCCCAGGTCTTTCTCAAAGGCTTGCACAAAATTAAGTCTTCAGTCAGGTTGCAACATCGGCTAAATAATATCTATGGCTAACGTGATTATGAATGTCAGTTTGGATCCGAAGCAAAATTTGCACTGAATATGCATGCCAGTCCTAGTTAATGTTCGCTAAATGCGTTACTAAAAAAACTGAGTGCATCTTCTTGGGAAAATCAGACCATAAATTGTGAAGGAGTGTTGAGGGTCTGTCTTGATTCAGAACCACACTGTACAGTTTTAATAGACCAGCTTCAGCACTGGCCCTGAAAACAGGGGTGAAGATTCGTCCCGAGGAAGAAGGTTCTTGCCCGTAAGAGCCTTGACAACCCTGGTCACTTCTAGTGGAATCTTTCTGAAGACGTGAGCTCTGCTTTCCGCACAGTGCTTGTGCTGGAGTTACTTTTGCGAGAACTTCTCACATCTTTCTCCCCAAGATTGTCTGGGTCTGTAAAAAGTGGCAAACCTCCACCTGAAGGCATGTTTTTAGTTCAGCCTGCAGCACTGAAGTTACTTCAGAAGAAAGGGTGTCTTCTGAGTGCTTATTTCTACACCCCCACTCCCACCCCAAACCCCCCCCCCCCCCCCCCGCCAGCTATTTCCATGGTTCTGAAATGAGTTAAGGATGACTTTCAGTCAAAGAAGTTAGCTTTGCTCAGAGGATTTCAGACTTTTTTTATTTGCTCTTCTTAAGGCTTCCCTAAAAAACAATCAGAGCATTTGGAAGGAAACCTGATAGGATATTTAGCACTTTGTTTCCCTTGGGTAAAAGCTGATAGACATTCCCTCTTGTTTTGGAAAGGTTTCTAGCCAAGCACAAAAGATCAGATTTGACACTGCTAAAGTAAAGCATGAGGTAAGGCAAAGAAGGGTAGTCCTTTTTTATACATCACTCCTTATGTGGGGAAATGGGGTTAAGAACTAGGTGAATTGTCTCAGATCTCTTTCCATTACACTTTTATTTTGGTGGGTTAATCAGCGTATCAGTTTCTGTGAAAACTCAAGACTTCTGCCTTTTAAAAAATATTAGCAGTATCACCAGATATTTTCAGGCAGTACGTATCTGAGACAGTACTGCACTCACTAGGAGATGAGCAGCACTTGGCCTTGATCCCCTGGTCTTGTGCCTGATGATACATCGTGGGAGCACTGCATTAACTGTCAATAAATATCTGTCATTGTTTTGGGCTTAATTACAGAATGGCTTTAAATCAGCACACGAAGGAAAGTTTCAGCTCAGGTTTTGAATGTGATACAGCCCTGTGTATGAGTAACTCTCGTGGTGCCTGGGACTGTCAGCAGTGTCCCCATTGGTAAAACTGTGCTTTGTTTATGTGGCTTTGGTTTTGATTTTTTCAGTTCCCTTTAGCAGTTCCCTGTTGATTAAACAGATGAGAGAAGAGTTGCATTTCTTTGCTGAACAGGATTCTTAGGCAGGGTTGTGACCGTCTTTGGATGCTTCTTGTCTTTCCCTTGTTTTTGTTGTTGCCTTTGATTTGGGGAGAAATCCTTTTAAATGCCTGACTACGATTTCAGGACAGTCTAAGAAATTGTTCCCAGTTAATCGGGTTGTGCCTTGCACCGAACCCAGTACTGCCTGCAGTCGGACTCGAGCCGGTGTTGAATGGATTTTTATACACTGTGGAAACCCTCGTACTTCTCTAGCACAAGACCTGTCTAATAGGAGAAGCTAGAGCCAGAAAATCTGGTGGGAGCTGACAGTGCTCTAGCTAACGTTGTGCACGGGTACTGTTGGTACAGGGTAAGAGTACCCAGATGGTGAATTATTTCAGAATATTGTTTTCTGACTGCTCAGCATAGCTTTCAGCTTGTGAACTTGCATGTAGACAGCTATTTGGTTTCTTGCTTTAAGCAGTCGGGGGAAAGACCGACCTGGATGTGCTCACTGTGTTCATGGATTGTTTGCAAGGCAGAAAGAGAGGCAGCATATTAAGACTGAACAGATGATAAAAATAAATGTTCAATTTTTATGGTATTAGGAGAAGAAACAGAAAACTGGAGAGAGTGAAAACTCCTAAACATTTTCTAAAGGTCTCAGTGATTGAGGAGCCTTTCTCCGGTTTTAAATATGACATAGGCAGTCAAGGACCAGAGTGTTAGATTTGTGATACAGATGGGTCTCAGTAGGGGGTTCAAAAACTTTGTCAGATAGCATATAAGTGATAAGGATTGAGATTTTTTTTTTCTGGTAGAGCTACAAAAAAATTGAAAAGAAACAATGAATAAGCCATATCAGTGCTGGCCAGGTACCTCCTTAAATATCCAATGTGCCTTGTATTGCATCGAATAGCTTAGTTGCTTAATTAAGACATCGGTTTTGAGTTACGTGAATTGCATGTTTCCCTTCTCAGATTAATGTCTTCATCAGATTGATTATGACACCTTTTATAATTGGTGGACCTTAACACTTTGTTTTCATCGGGCATTTTTAAGTACCTATTAATTAAACCTTTCAACTTCAAGTTAGTTTGTACTGCTTTCCTGGTGTATTCTTATTCTGCGTCACAGCTGAACCTACGTCCCATTTCAGGAGGCAGTTTAGCCGAATGGAAATTCAGACTCCGTTGCTTTTGTTCCTCTTGTGTAGTGTCTTGCCTGTGGAAGACCTTTTCCTTGCTCCTTGCTTTTTTTCTTTTTCAGTGGGACTAAGATACCAAGGCAGATTGAGATTCTGTGCAGTGTGGTTAAATGGTGAGCAGAATTTTAAAAATAACCTTTTTGAAGACTCTGATGCTGGTCATACTGGCTGATACAAGACAAGTGTCTTTCCCCTGACTTCTCAGCAGAACGTGTGGATGTTCCCCATGTTACTCAAGGTGAGAGAGGAACCAGAGTCCTTTTGCTTTCTTAATATTGTCTTTCTGCCTTTACCAACTGAAAAATCATCTGTGATGTCTTACTAAAAGCTGACATGCTTTAGGATGAGTGCTTTATATTTTAAAACTTCCTGTGCTTCCACTAACCTTAGGTGCACATATTCTACTGAAGAGCAATTTCTGTAGTGTTACTCTTCTTATTAAATATTTTAAATCTCTATGCTTTTTCACCCTGGAAAAAGATGAGAAGTACACAGAGTCTCCCAGCTTCTTAACATGAACTGGCATATCTGATAATCATTCAGGTTGTACCAACATGTTTGCCCTTTCACAGCCATTTGGTGATAAAATCTAAAACTTTAAAGCAAATCAGAGGTTTGTGGTATTTTTTTTCCAAATGACAGAAAACTAAAGGAAGAGTTTAAATTGCTGTAATTGAATCAAGTCACTTTAATGTGTTCCTAATCCTGAGCAGAAAAGGTCCCAAATGATTGCTGTTCTTCAGGACTCTAAATAACTATGTCAAGAATAAGGATAATTATGACTGTTAACTGTGATACCAGCTCTTGGTAAAAATAAACATAAAGCCACTATGTTTACAGGATATCTACACAAATAATGGTTCTTCATGCTCTGTGCTACTTGGTTAACAAGGGGTTTTTTTGTTTTCTGAGCTCCCTTGGTAGCATTTGTGAAGTTTGTTGAAAACAAGGGATCCAACTAAAGAGTGTTAAATTGGAGTTCTGAATAACTGGCAGGAGGTAAATCAATGTTAGACAAATGGGAAAGAACATGAGCATTTAAAAGGAGAAATGTTGTACTCAAGATTCTAGGAATATTAAAGCAACCGAGACAAAACAAAAATAGAGCATTAAAAACATATCCTCTCAGTGTTGTTTCAAAAGGTAAAGAGTTACACATGCTGGTGATTATGGAGATTATTTTCGTCTTCTTTTTCAGATCTTTGCGTTTCTTGGAGAAACAAATAGTGTTTAGACTGAGGTGGTACCCACAAGAAGCACTTTGTAAATATGAATGGTGTGGGTTTTTTTGACGATTGCTTTAGGACCATTTGTCTCAACCTTCTATAAATGGCTCCATTAGCAGAATAAATAGGCTGATATCAACCGGGCAGGGAATAATGGTTAAGATGCAGCATTATCGGTGTGCTGGGCTGTGTTGTGCCAGGGCGCCCATTGCTCACCCTCGAGGCAATAGCTGCTCCATGGGAACAGCTGTGTGCGTGCTGGCGGTACCCTTCTCCGTCTGAACTCCGTCACTCCCCACGTGGAAAGGGGTGCTGACACATAATAGAATCACAGAATCATTTAGGTTGGAAAAAAGACCCTTAAGGTCATTGAGTCCAGCTCTTAACCTAACACCGCCGTGTCCATCACTATGTTGGCTTTGCTTGGTACATCAGGGGTGAGCATTGTCCCCTGGGAACCTTGGAGAGGGATCATAAACGCGTTTATTTTCTGAGGAGAGCCATTCTGAGTATGTACATCTCTTGCCATCCTGTGATTTTTTTTTTTTTTTTTTTCTTTTGAACGTTTCTAGTCAGGTTATTGGAATGAGCTGAAAATGAGGTTTCTCAGATGTACTGTAAAGCAGGCATCATGTGTTGCCTGTGAAGGAAATTCCTCACGCGTGTTGTCATTTTACGCATATTTACCCCACTGTCTGAATTACAAGGTATCTGTAATTTTAAAATGTTTAAGGAGAGACTGGACAAATGAAGGAAAAAGGAGGAGAAATAAACCAGTGAGATTTAGGATAAACCATCCTCCAGGGATTTAGCACAGCTATTAGAATAGCTTTTTGTGCCGAGCCTTGTACCCTTGAAAAATATACATAACTTTTTCAAGTCTAGGTCATTTCTGAGTCCTTGGGATTTTATCTATCCAGGGTGTTGAATAGAACTGGATCCTGAATGGGAAGCTCATTTTCACCCACTTACGAATTTCTCAAGTTAGAACTGGACCTAACCTATTGCTTTTATGTTTTTGTCACACCAAACCATCTTTGAATCAGGGAAAATACTGCTTGGTTACTTGTTTGACTGAAAACAAGTATCTCTTAGGGCAGATATGGTGACTTGGAAGGTGTGAAAATTTGCATCATCTCAGTTTCTCCTCCCCCTCAATCCCTCCCTTGTCATGGGGCTCAGCAGCATATGGATCATGAGCCCTGGTTTCTGTGCTTTATGCTGCTGCTGATTCAGGTGGGTTTGGGATTACTGGGCTGTTACTGGACTGTGGTGGAATAATTTCATTCACAGCTAAACTCGGAATTTGCTTACAGCTGAAGCGACGGTGATTTGGGTGAGCAACAATGTAAGAACACCGTATTCAGTATCAACAACAAGAGACATGTGGTGGTTTAACCACACAAGTGATGTGGATTAATGCAGGAAACGATACGTGGTTCCCATTAATGAGTTGAGGTCATGTTGCTTTGATGGGTGGTGTGAAGCAGTGTCAGCCAAGAGGCCAGCTCGAAGCAGTGTCAGCCAAGAGGCCAGCTCACTGTCTGAAGTTGGTTGTCACACTGATGGTGTGTGCAGAAAAATGTTCTGGGATTTCTTTGTATTTTTCAGAAGAGGAACATCCTGCTTTGGAAATGAGATGGAAACAATTGCTAGAGAAAGTGCGTTGTCAACACTGTAAATCACTGAACGGTCAAAATAATAGGATAAAGGGTAGACTGAGCTTGAGGGAACATGAGGGGTTTCTGAACTTCTCAGAGTGAAGTGGAAGGATCCCAGGTACTCTGTGGTGAACAGATTGTGATGGACAGTAGGAGAAACAGTTGTTTTCCTTCAGATTATCAGTGCAGTTTTTTCAGCTGGAAAAGAGAGGAAGTCAGAGCCTCCATGGAGAGTCTGCAATTGCAATGTAAATTAATTCAACAAAACTCTGAGTGAAACCCAAGTCTCTTTAGTTTAGAGCTTTTCAAATATTATTCCAAGGCTAAAGTCTGTATGGATTAGGATTCTACTTTATTTTGATCCGCCAGGATGAAATTTTTACTTGGTTCTCAAGAATTAATTCTCTTTCCTCACAAACTGCCTTTGATAATGTGATTGAGTTAAGGAGGAAGTACTTTAAAAAGCAAGTATTTCCCAGGGCATTGGAGCACATCCTCAGAAATTTTAGTTTCTAATTCTGACATCAGGAATGATTGCTTTTGGAGATCACTGTAACAGGCTTCTAGTTAATGAAGATTATAACAAACCATCAAGATTGATACCATCTCTGCTTATTTCATGCTCCCTTTCCTCTTTTATTCTTTTTTATTTTAGTGAATTTGCAGTTTTATTTTGATGACAGATACTTGCTGTGTGCCTCCACAGACAGGCTAGTACCACCCTGTTACTGTTACTGGACCTTTTGCCATCTTTTCAGGCTGCAAGAACTTGTTGTTCATCTGAGCTGTTAAATTTGTTTACAGTAACACACATTGACCTAGTTCTGAGCTTACCACCATGCTCAGAATAATGACCAGTCTTACCTGCCAGACCTAAGCAATCAGTGAAGCTGCAAGAGTCTTATTTGTGGTTTCTATTGGTGTGGATGGGTACACTTACTTTAAATGATATAATTGATATGATGTCTCTCAGTGTGCAGAAGCACACTGTAAAATCTTGACCCTGTTATGTTTAATCGTGGAGGCAGTTCCTGAGGCAGTACTTACGTTAATATATTCAGTCTTAGCTCCCAGCTAAGTTTTATGTATCTCTTCCAGCCTGTCATTCAGCTGAACTTGTGTTCGTTGTCTAAGGGAAAGTCATGGTACCACATCAGTGCCTTAGGGACATCTCCACCCTTCAGCCCACAAGAAGGCGGGAACAACTCCAGCCATACCAGTTCGAGTTCAGATACAGTTGGTTTGCTATCAATTCTGTACCTAGAATAATTTTCTTGCAGTGTTCTTCTCTCTTATGTTTTTCAAGGTCATTTAGGCAGGTTTGCCTTTGAGCTGTAGTTTTTAATGTTATCAGATGTCTATAAAGTCATCAAAGGTGTTTCGGGAAGGACTTCTCTGAGTATGACTCTAAAACCTGTGAAAACCTTTAAAAACATGTATTGATTAGGGAAGCTGATCAGGGTTATGTACAAAAGAGATAAATAAGAGGAATTTGAAAAGTCTTCTCATGTCAAGTTGAAGTAGTCTTGAAGCAGGTGTAAGGCCCTGTTTTATAGCTGCTGATTTAGAAACAAAAGGTTGGGTCCTTCAAGGCTTGGAAGTGCACAATATGCACCTTTATCCGCCGAGAGCAGAAGCAGCATATCCTCCATGCTTTTGGGAGTCCCAGCATTTGATAATTGTAGATTGCGAATCTCCCCTTTTGTGTGTATATTCTTCAGTGTAAATGTCACTAACATATTTCTCGATTTAGTATTAAATATAGTGTTTCCCTAAAATCCCTATTCTGAGTTCAGCCTCTGCTGGTGGTTTTAGGAGGCTTCATTCTGTGAAGGAAGGCTTCTTCTGGCTGCAGAAGGACTTGAATTTGTTCTTCAGACTGCTGTTAGGGGTTCTGCTATAGGAGCAGTTCCTGGCTACATGGCAGGGAAATGTTCTTCTTGGCTATGCTGAGGTAAATCAAAGGAGCCTGTCCCCATCTACCTTGGTAGAAATGAGAACACATCTCAATCCTACATGTTTGTTCTTGTATTTCTTTGTACTTGCACTAACCCACAGAGTTATGGATTAATAATCTATTGCCCCTGGGCTAAGCAAGAGTAAAACTTTGGCTTTTATTTCTTTTCTAACTTTAAAATAAAAATTTGTGAAAAAAGAGTTTATATTCAGTGCCTAATCCTGCCAGACTTTACCCGTTACGAGTAGTTCTTAGTCACACAAACAGTCCTACTGAATGCATTGGTGTCCTGAAGCTGATGGACTCGTGTAAGTAAGGGGTTTCAAGAGTGGGTCCTTACAGAACATTTAAAAAACCTTTTATTTATCAAATCTTGTACATTCTAATTACTAGT